CTCACACCTCACATAGGCACACGATGTTCACCCATTGCTCACACCTCACATAGGCACACAATCCGATTGCTCACACCTCACATAGGCACACAATCGTTTGTAATCATCGCTCACACCTCACATAGGCATACGATGTTACAACGGATTCTCATTAGAATCACACAGCACAAGAATGTACATTGTAACGCACCGATTCTGATTTCCTATTATTGTTGAGTCCTTTTGATTTAATTGGGTGATTATTATTTTAAATGTGGAATTGATGTGTTAATATGTTATGTTTGCATATTATGTTATTTTATCGATTTTGAGAGTTTTCGGGGAAATTAGGTTGGAGAGTATTTTAGATATTTCTTATTTAATGATAAGATTAGATATTTTGTGAGACTATGAATTGGTAGATATTTTGAGAGAAAAAAGTATAATAGAGATAAATAGAATAGAAAGATATATAAGAGAAAATGGAAAGAAAATAGTAGAGAAAGAAAGAGGAAGAAGAGAAAAGAGAAGGAAAAGAGAGGAAAGCTTGGATAGCTCAAGAACAACATCTAGGAATCGACTAATTGGGTAAGAGTGTGAAATCTTATTATCTTCTCAATGTGTATGATTATGTATGTGTTGTTTGGATTGTTTGGATGTTTTTCCCCATTTTCCATTCTAGGTCAGAAATGGTTTAATCGGTAGAAACCGATGTTTTAACGATTATAATTTGGAATAAGTGATGTAGTTTAGTTGAGGAATGTTAGGATAAGACTATGGAAACTCGTTGGAGTTAAATCAGGTGATTTTGTGAAGGTTTGACATTTTTAGACAGTAGAGGGTTTTGAGAATCGCAGAGGTTCGCTAGGCGAGTAGCTAGCGAGCGAGCTACCGAGTGGTTGGCTAGGCGAGCTGCTAGCGAATGTTCCCAGACTTGGGCAGAACCAAATAATCCAATATCGCTGGAGGCGAGTGAGGTAGCGAGTGTTCACTAAGCCTTCACTAAGCGAGCTGTGTAGCGAACACTTCCAGTAGCAAAAAGGCAGGCTTCGCTAGCATGTTTGCTAGGCGAGCCAGTAGCGAATGTTTGCTATGCCTTCGCTAGACGAGTGGGCCACAGAGCATGACATCATGTTTTATTTTTTTGTTTCCATCCAATGTTGATGCTTTGATTCTTCAACGCATAACTTGTGTGTTGTTGGTCGTAACGACAATGCGATGGCTGCTGCTTTGGAAGCAATGGCTAGGGCGGTGCAAGATGCACCGAACGTAAATGCTAATGATGTGTTTAGGAAGAATCAACCACCGGTCTTCAAAGGAAGATTTGATCCCGATGGTGCTCAGATTTGGTTGAAGGAGATTGAAAGGATCTTCAGAGTTATGAGCTGTGAAGAGAGGAATAAGGTGAGACTTGGATCTCACATGATGAAGGAAGAAGTCGACAATTGGTGGGTCGGTATGCGTCGAGTTCTTGAGGTGGATGATGAAGAGATAACTTGGGGTTTATTTCGTACTGAGTTCTTGAGGAAGTATTACCCTGAAAGTGTGAAAGGGAAGAAGGAGATGGAGTTCCTTGAACTGAAACAAGGTAGTATGTCCGTGGTGGACTATACTGCTAAGTTTGTGGAGTTGGTTCAATTCCATCCTCATTATGCTCCAACTACTGCTGAGTTCTCAACGTGTATTAAGTAAGAGGATGGTTTGCGTCTTGAGATTAAGCAAGCTATGTGATATCAAAGGATAAGAAGGTTTACAAATTTGACGGAATGTTGTAGAATCTTCGAGGAAGATAACAAGGTTCGTTCTACACATTACAAAAGTTTGAAGGAGAGGAAGGGAAAGCAACAAGCTAGAAGTGGACCTTATGTGACACCCGTTGATAAAGGCAAGCATAGGGGAAACTTTGATAAGAGGCCTGGAGGAGGAGGTTCCGGTTCTATTAAGTGTTACAAGTGTGGCGTAATGGGTCATAAATCTTTTGAGTGTGAGAATACTGTTGTGAAATGTTCTAACTGTGGAGGCACGGGGCATGCTACTACCGATTGTAGAAGGAATACAATGAAGTGCTTTAATTATGGAGAAGTGGGTCACATTAGTACTAATTGCACTAAGCCGAAACAAGCTCAAGCAGGCGGAAAGGGGTTTGCACTAGCCGGGTCAGACACTACTAGTGCAGATCATTTGATTAAAGGTACATGCTTTATTAACAGTACACCTTTAGTTGCTATTATTGATACTGGAGCGACTCATTCGTTCATTTCTTATGAGTGTGTTAGGCATTTGAATTTGTTTGTGACTTCTTGGAGTGGTGACATGGTTATTGAGACTCCTGTTTCAGGGTCGGTAACTACATCTTTGGTGTGTGTAAGTTGTCCTTTGACCATGTATGGTAAAGACTTCATTATGGATTTAGTGTGTTTGCCGTTGGAGGAATTGGATGTAATCTTGGGTATGAACTGGTTTCAATTTAATAGAGTTCATATAGATTGTTATCATGAGTTAGTGAGGTTTCCTTCTTTGGAAGATGATGGAGATGAGAGTTTCTTACCCACTAAAGAGTTGAAGAAACTTTTAGCGGACGAAGCTCAGTTGTTCGGTTTGTTTGCATCAGTGTCGGTGGAGAGTAAAGTTGAGCTCAATGTGTTTCTAGTGGTGTGTGATTTTCCAGAAGTGTTTCCGGAGGATATTACGGATGTACCGCCGGAAAGAGAAGTTGAGTTTTCCATTGATCTAGTTCTGGGTACTAGACCAGTTTCGATGGCACCGTATCGTATGTCGGCATCAAAGTTAGTAGAATTGAAGAAACACTTGAATGACTTGTCGGAAAACAGATTTGTAAGGCCAAGTGTTTCTACTTGGGGTGCTCCGGTATTGTTGGTAAATAAGAAGGATGGGAGTATGCGGTTATGCATTGATTATCGGCAATTGAACAAGGTGACAATTAAGAATAAGTATTCGTTTCCAAGAATCGATGATTTGATGGACCAATTGGTTGGTGCGCGTGTTTTTAGCAAGATTGATTTGAGATCAGGATATCACCAGATTCGTGTGAAAGAAGAGGATATTCAAAAGACGACCTTTAGGACACGGTATGGCCATTACGAATTTTCCG